TGGACAAAAAAGCGCTACACAACAATGTAAAACATTGTCGATTCAGCATCATTTGTAAACTGCTTTTTGTTTTTCCAGGTAATCTTGTTTATTGAAATTTGTTTGATCTAAAACTTTAACACAATGTTAGAAACAGAATAATTCCCATCACTACATGTATTGATCATTTCCACACAAACGAACATATGTGAATGAATGAAAACAATTGCAAGGTCCTAAAAAGAACAGAAATACAGATATGTTGTATGTAATGGTTTACAAGCTGCACCATCAGCTCTGTCCCTCAGACCAGACGGGGTCTGTGGGGACACCTACACGTCTGTGTGTTTGTGAGTGTGTGTGAATGCAGTCCAGATGGCCATCTTCAAGGGGTTTTCTGGAACATTCAGGCACTTGTTGCTTCATGTCTCTTTTCTTTCACTCTATTTCACATTCTCCCTCCCTCACACATGCGTTCGCTTAAAAATGCAATGCTTCTTTTGATGTGTGAAGCAGCTTGCGGTCAGCTGTTTTTCTCTTCAATCGTTCCGTCAAACAGTAGCCTTTAGACTCTGAAACCAAAAGAGAAAACAACTGTTCAGTGTTCGTAGCCAAAAGACAGAGCAGATACTTTTGTGAGATGTTGCTGCTCTCAATTCGACTATATGGTGATGGACGGGCAGACCAAATTGAGTATTTTACTTTGGTGAACACAAAATTTGTGGAGTTAAGTACGGCTGCTGAAAGTTCTTTACTCTGACATTTTGAGTGCATTGTACTTGCTTCTTGACTGAAGTTTCTTCTGGGAGTTCTTTGTGATTTAGTGTAAAACCACAGTTAGATTCGAAGAGTGGGTCTTTTAAAGTGTTTGCACTGCAGGTGCTATCAGATCATAGATGTGTTATCAAAAATCTCCAAAGGCTGACTATGAAATAGGAAAACATTTATTTTTCTCTTTTGGCCGAAAAAATTACAGTGTCATCCGGCATGTTTTTTATTTTAAAAAATTTTGGTTATACACCACTTACCATGACAGCAAAGACGAAGTTATTTATTATTTAATTCACCTTCAGTGGAAGGTGAAATTGGGGCACCTTCCAAGCCCCTGTGAGTTGGACTCCTGTCTGGTCATACACCTCTAAAGTTTTACCTTATTGTGGAACCTTATTGTGTGTCACCTTTCACTCAAACTGGGCAACTTCAAAGGTGTTCTTGCAGAGCAGTTTCACCTGTACTGGTATTTATTTGAATCCTCTATGAGGCCTCATGTTTGGAGAATACCATACCAAGAAAGAAGTCAAGAATACAAGCCACTTTCTTGGCTCGAGGGTGCTCACAAATCCAAAAAAAAACAAAAAAACTACCATTTCCCCCTGCCAGCAGGAACTAGTGGTGCATTCCAATTAACATTTAAACTTGCTGAGCTCTGGCCATCATCTTTTGTCTGGTATCTTCAGGCAGGTAAGTTCAACACCTGCCTGAATTTGGCCATCACAGCACTAATGGCCTTTATTTTACAGTAATCTGACTGAAGGTTAGCATAAAGAAGGGGGAAAAGACATAAGGCAGACAAACCAAGAAGGGGACTCAGACCTCAAGTCAAGGTCTGTGGCCTCCGTATGTTGGCTGGCTGCTAACCACTGTGCCACGCAACACACCAACACTCATTGTGCAGTGTGTGTTTATATCTCATACAACAACATTCAATCACAACCAGCAAATCAAAATACTGCACCAAGCTGCAGAAAATACTAATCATAGTAAACTTAACATGTTACTTGAATTTTTTACCCTGAGAATATTTTGTTAAGCATACAAATACTTATTATCCATTTTCGCTCATTTTTATTTTCTTTTATTAATACAGTGTTATAGTGAAGAAACCCTGACATCTTATTGGTTAACTTACATAGCAATTCTTTTGCCGACCAATCACCTTCTCTATAGTAGTTTTGACTTTACTAAATGATTTTGAGTTAACAACCAAATATGTCCATGTTGCATGACTATAAAAAGAAAAACAGAAACTATTAACAGTAACTGAAAATAATTTAATTTTAATTAATTTCCAATTAGAATGATTAATTTTATTGACCATAAGCTTTTGAAAGTTGGAAATTTCACCAGAGTGAAAATAGTACTTTGGTACTGTTCATTAGATTCCCTGATGCACCATTAGTTTGACTTTCTGCAGAAATAAACTGTGTGAGGTGCTGTTAGATATTGGAAAACTACATTCCTGAAGCAATGACTGTTCAGCACAACAAACTACAACTGCCATGTAACATCTGACATGCCAATGATCCATCTCTCGTTTCTTTCACACAGGGAAAATGCTTACACAAGTAATTGACAACGCTGTCTCAGGGACGTAACTATAAATCAACTGTTTTGCCTTTCAGTTAAGTTCTTTCTAGTCAGCAATAGCCACCTGAGCAAGGGTCATCCCACTTACTAATTTAATTCTGCCAACACATGTCAACAAGACTAAATGATGTCTACATTCAGTCAATGAACATCATTGATGAAATTGGAAGAAAGGTTTATTTCCTTATAGGAAACAAACTCAAGTTTGTCTCAAGAATGTGGACATGGCTCTTGTTTTGGTCACATAGAAATCAGAGACTATTTAAAAGCTGTGCATGTACTCCATGCTACCATAGCAACACTACGAAATGCCTCACGACACACCAAAGTACACTTTCCCCTGCTTCACATGTGGACCGGCCAGTCACAAGCCCACAACAATAACAACAGTAAAGATATTATTTACTTCTCCGCTGATGTGAGTTCAAGAGGAACATTACCCAATTGTCTCTCAAACCACAGGTTCTAGCCTGGAAATGGCTGGGGATACCTCAGGAGAAGTAATGGCTCAATTATTTTTTTTTTCTGTGTTCATTGATGTCTCTTTCTAGGTGATGTAAGCATGTACTACCTCTATTTACTCATCAGCTGTGTTATCACTATGTCAGCTGCAAGTCTCTGAATGGGGTAATATCAAATGGCATCAAGTCAAAAGCCCACAAGAATGTGGGCTTTTAATTTTGTGGAAAATTACTATAAGTTCACATCTGCTGACCATATTATATTAAATGCTTGTGAACTCTCACCAAAAGAACCACACAAGGTGTAGAGTTGTTTTGCTGCAGCTGCAAGGGAACCAGACTATCTCTCCCATGATTTAGAGACTGACTGGCATTGCTTTTCACCCAGAAAGTCTTCATTATTGACTGTCTCACACGCACTTTGTATTGTGCACAATATATGAATAAACTTGATTGAGTGACTTCACCTGACAGTGCTTGGTAATAGTTTTTTTTACACAACAGCATTTAAAAACTTTTTTTTCTGCAGTTCAAATTAATATTTCATAGCATTCCACACTTGCATAATTTTTCTGTTCTTGTCTGTTCTTGTGGATTTGCCAACATGTGTATTGTGATGAACTTATAGTAATCCTAGCATATGCATTTGGCAGGCAAGGAATAAAAGTACAACTTATTGAGCTACTTATAAACTGAGAAATTAAAATCCCAACACACTGTCTGGTGTAAATAGGAAAGAAAAAAATGAATAAAATAAGTAGTAAATAAATATCTCATGAAAAAAATTTTTTCCAATCTTTGATGAAACTGGGTAGCTATATGATTGATATTCAAGCATGTACCTTTATATCAGGTATGTGCCTGATATACAGCAATTTTTATTTAGTTTATTTAGTTTTTTGTACTTTGAACAAAATTTTTAGATGAAGAATTTAGTCTGAAGAAAATTTTGATTATTTTAATTCAGCTTCTTTTAATGTGGAAGTGTGTAAAAATTATTGTACTGACACAAAAAAAGGAGCATAAAACAAATAAAGTGGTGTTTGAGCACGACAGACAACCTGAAGAACCCATTTTTTTTTCCTTTTAAGTTGTGGTTAACATTATTTTTTCCTATTTAAATATGTAGATTTCATAATATAACATAATTTGACAGGCAGAAAAATCGTTTTTTTTTTTTTTTTTGGTGTTTTTTGTCAGGGGGGGCTTGTTAGCAATACTGGAAAGAAAAACTGCCATAGCTTAACATTATTATGTAAAGTAATTGAAATGGACATTAGAAAACTGTCTGGAGAGAATATATCTGAAAATGACATTCTTAAGGAAAAAATATAATGGCAGAAAATAAAGCATTTCATTTATTCAAGTTTTTTGCTAGCTTTCTGGAAATCATTACATTGGTGCAACACTTTGTTTGAAAAAATAATTGTAGATTCAACTAAAGAAACTATTTTCAATACACTTTACCACTAAGAATCTGTCTAAAGAAACAATTGAATTTTTGCTTTGTTTAAATCTGTCAGCTGTGAAAAAATAGAACAAAGTTCGATTCTGAGTGTTCTTCTATGCCCAAAATGAGTCATAGGAAACTCCTAACTGAAAACATACAAAGCATAATAAAAAGGAACATGATTTTATGATGTGAAGCACTTTGAAATGCCTTGCTGCTGAAATGTGCTGTACAAATAAAATTTGATTGATTGATTGACTCAAAAATGTAATAAAAAATAAAAAAAGGAAAATAATTTAAAAACTGAAACTTGAACAGTTTAACTTCATTAGGATTTCCATCTCCGAAGCAACATTCTTAACGTATAGGGCCTGGGACTTCTATACAGCAGTAAACACCAGTTACCGTGGATACAAATGTTTTTACACAAACATACTTGCCTTCCAAGAGTAAAGCATGTGTTGCCATCATGTGTTAAAAAGCTGAACTACAGTTGACAGTTTGTTTTGCACAACTCTGTAGTGATGGAATTTATTTAAACATTCTTGCTTAGAGTAACCGGAAAATTAAATAGCCAAGTTTATAAAGAAGGTATTAGCTTAAAAACTTCTGTAATTGATGAAAAGCTGCAATCACTTTTGTAGCCAGTTTCTCCTTGTGCCTTTTCTTAGAAAAAACATTGAGAAATTAATTTCAAAGTCCATCTTGCACTGATTAAAAAATAAATAAAATAGACAAGCAAAAACATTTGTATTCTCTTTAATTTTAGAATCATTGTACAAGGACTTCCCAATGGATTAGCACTTCTTTTTACAATATGTACCACATAGCTGCACCTACATATTTACATGCTTACACAAGATTGTATCACAAAACAGTGTGTGAAATCAGGAAAAAACAAGTGTTTTTGCCAAACTAACACACCCATTATTCCATGAGCTGGCTAAACAAAATATAATCTCACAGCCACCGGCCCCTTCTAGGTTTAAAGCTGAAATCACGAGTATGAAAGTGTTGCACATCATGAAAATTAAGGAACAAAAAATAATGACAATACTATGATCTAACTATGGGTTAAGTGTAAACATTAAGCAGGTCAAATGCATGTCTTGACCACTGTTACTGTTTGCAATGCAACAAGAACCAAGATGCACCCATATGGAATTAGAAACTCTGAATGGCTTTCTGTTGATGAATGGTAGTGCAGTTAATGTATAGAACTGCTAATAACAAAAAATGAGGGGATTTTATCAAAGAATGTTTTTTAAGAACATACCAATCCCATCAGCCCACTGGTTTGTGTAAATTCAACCGATGTGCTGCAATAACCTCTTGTTTCAGTAAATAAATGAAGAGTAAACAGTAGGGTGTTGCCAATAACAGAGGAAACAAGTGTGCGCACACGCTCACTGTTGCACCACAACCAGATACTCTAGCAGCTTTCTTAAAGGCAGAGACACGTACGATACAGTAAGTGTGGCAGTTCTGCTGTCAAATAGGCTAACATGAAACAGCAGCAGAGTAAAATCTATGTGGCATTTTTAAGTCAAGCCAAACAGCAGCAGCAGTTCAGACTCCTGAAGACCCCCGATACTGACCTGCAGAAAAGAGTAGATCAGGAAGAGGTTGGATGCAAGCTGAAAACAGAAGGAATAAATTTGGTTCATCTGATTTGGAGAAAAAATAAGCACAATGAGAAATATTCAAATGCAATATTCTGCACTTTAAGGATATAAAGAGCAATGAGTGCTTGTATCAGAATACTGAGGGTAAAACAAATCATAAAATGAACTTTACAATGGAGAGAATGAGTGACATTTCTTACAAAAAAATGGGATGGAAAAATAAGGAAGGAGATAAATATGCAGGCTGATAATATCCAAGCTTTTCTTTATTCATAACATTGCAACTAAAGAGGAAGAGTTTGATGGTCAGCCAAGGCATCAGTCCTCATCGTCTGTCTGACCGGCCACCAAGGAGAGAACAGCTAAGGATTCGATGTTCAGTTCAGAGCATTCTGTTCCGTTTATGAGTGGGTGAGTCTGTGATGACGTCACTGTGGGGTGCAGAGCCTCGTTTACGAGTGGCAGCAGAATCTAAATGAAGTGCCATCTCCTCAGCTATGAAGGTGTTCAGGTCCATGTCGTGGAGACCATTCCTACGTCGACTGAGAGACTGGGCAGGATGTGTCGGGGAACCTGGAGGGCCGGAGCGCACAGAAATGCTAGCCATAGCACCACTCAGACCTGGAATAATAAAGATATACAACAATGTCAGAAGGAACTCTACATGACTTCATACTGCAACAGTTTCCCACTGAGCGTGACATTTTCACTCACCGTGCAGGGCTATAGCCTCTCTGAAAGGCTGCAGATCTGCTTCCACAGAGCTGTCTGTCTCTGGCGGTGATGGCCGACTTGCAGACACCATAGCAACAATAGGCGGTGCGCGAGCTGTCCGCGGAGGTGGAACTTTACCACAGAGGAAGCTGATGAGATCTTCTCGTCTAATAGTTCTTCGTCGCTTTTTAACCCATGCAATCACCTCCTTATTCCTGCGCTGGTGACCTAAATGAACACCCAGGTCGTAGCTCCGCTGGTGGGCCTCCACACTCTCTAACGGAACAAAACAGTTACTGCTTTTATTAAATCTGGGCATGATACACAAGATGGAGCAATTTAAAAAAGACGACATTCGTTACTTGCCTTTGTACAGGTTAGTGACAGCAGTGGCTGCATTCTGGAAGGGCACCCAGAGGGACAGACCTTGCTGCTGGCACACACGATCTGTGAAGAGCATTTCAAGAGTCACCAAGAGGCAGTATTTTGTGCTGATTTTTCTTTTCACCTTCCCTCAAATCCAGATATTACAATTATCATCTCAGGAAAGTATAAATCCACTGCCCTGAGAAACAAATGAAACTATCGAAGCATGATTGGCTTGAATTTCAATTCAAGTCACTGACTTATTGCTTGTACTTCTTTCAAAATAATCAATAATCAAACATTCAAAAAACAAGGACCTATTTTCTGATATATATTCCTGAAATGTCAACAAAAAATGACTCAAGAAGAATGCAGTGAAATTGGTCCTCTGTGTCTTTAAACTATTCTGCCCCATGTTTTCAGGTGTATAAAGAACACATCTGCCTCAGGAACCCCCTCACCCTCAATAGAAATCCATAACCTTAAACTGAAAAGTTCTTCCACCATATGTTCTACATATAGTTCTACACATATGTGTAGAACTACTCACATGTGTGAACTACTCAGGGAGGCAAACCCCCTCCCTGAGTATCGCCATTTTGACAATCTAGTTTTTTTAGGTACATAAAAAACTTGTACCATCAAGTTGGTCACTGTTTTACATTTTTGGATTTGCAATTAAGGGCTTTTCAATTTTTATTGTGGAACAACAAAAGATTCAAGCATCAATTGACTTTATCACTTGACAAGGAGTATGTCAACAACGATCTAAAATTAAGAGCCAAGGCTAAGCACCACTGCACCTCCATGTTGTTTTTGCCTGGCGCACACTGAATTGCCCAGCTGATGAAATTAAAATAAAATTTCCTTGCCTATTCTATGAGACCGATAAACAAAGTATGTACACACTTTAATCAGTTCCATCTGATTTTTAAACTCAAATTCTATGTGTGAAACATTTTGTACCATAGAAATCAAGATGTAATATAACAATGCAGGAGTCAAAAGGGAACCTTAAAACAATGTTACAGAAAAGTGCAATTACATGTTATGTGGAACATTTCATCCAGAAGATTTGTTCAATACAAAATGATCAAAGAATCAAACCATTTTTGGCAGAGATAATAAATATAAATGCAAATAGGTACATAAAATACTTGTACTATCAAGTTGGTCACTGTTTTAATTTTTGAATTTGGAATTAAGGGCTTTTCAATTTTTATTGTGGAATAAAGTTTTGAATATCAAGAATATCGTTTTGTCTAGATTTCAGTCTATTTTGGGACACAACTTAGATTTTCATAAGATTTTGGGCAATTAAAACCATGTTTTATTTATCAGAAAGTGGACAGACTTGTTTAAAAAAATGTCTGGTACGTAATATTTTCATGCTCTTCTAGACAAATGTTAAGTTGATACGAGAGAACATACTTTTCTAATCGCAACACATTCATACATCGAGGACAAATGGCTGATGAAGAAGTGGGGTTGTAGTCAACATTCTTATAGAAAAATTATTTTCAAACAAATAGAAAATATTTGTTGGAAAAATTGTAATGTAAATACATAGTCATATATTTCTTCTTCTATTTATGTATTATGATTTCTTAGCTTGGCTGTAATGAGTAGCATGACAGTAATCAGCTTTTCCACATTTTAAGTGAGAAATTCTCATCACATCTGGGTAAGAAATGGTTTTGACATCCATTTATTTTGCTTTTTCTTACAGTTAATTTAGACAATCATTCACAGAATTAACCTAAGCTTCATAAATGTACATAACTTAACTTTTATTGTGAATATTCTATCTTTGGCCATAGCTTTTAATCTGTTTAATTCAGGGACATAAATTACTCCAGAAAATTTTGTGAAAATTATGTTGATGCCTTTATTTTTTTATCTAAACCCACAATCTTGACATGAGCATTTTTAATACGCTTTCATATTGTACTAGTCTGAAAATTATACTAAGCTGCCTACTTCAATCATTCCTTTATTTGTCACTTGTGCGGGAAACCTGACAGTTAATTTAGACAGAAACACAACTTTCACATTAATATAAACTTAAATACGGAAACATTTATGTTAATCCCTTCGCCATTTTGTGGTAGCAATGAATAACAAGGGAGTCATTAGACAACCTGATTGCACTGTTTGGAGGTTTGCATGTTGGTCGCTTAGAATAATCCCTCTTTCTGTCACAACTGACAAATATCCACCGCCTAACCTGCAACAATTTTCTTAGCATTTGAGCGTCAACACAGCTGTTGTTTTCAACCCCCTCCCTGAGTATCGCCATTTTGACAATCTAGATAACTTGACGCGAAGACTGAAACATTTGTCCGAACTGAGAGACCGAACGTCTTAGAAATTCTAAGTTAAACGTTGTTTTTAAATAAAACATAATTGGATTAAAATCGTTACGTTCGGAGCTCTGCCAGCCCAGGTCACTGTGATACATATTTTATCGAGGCTGTCTGACGGTCTGACACGGTGACCGGCTGTTAGCGGCTAGCGTTAGCAGCTGTTCAGTCATCCTCAGGGTCACAATATTGAGAACATTACCACACAATATTGACGGTCAAACTTCATTCAGGGAAACAACATAATGCATTGTTACAAAACAACAATGAAAGCATATTATGTTAAAATCGATTTGATTCCGCGAATAGTATTAAGAGCTCCCTTTGTGTCTATCAGCTAAACGACACCGTTAGGATTAGCTCTGATTAGCATTAGCTCCAAAGCAGAACTTCGATAAGTGTGAAGCCCACCTTTGTAAAGCTGTGCGACGGCGGTAGCAGAGTTTTGAAAGAGGTGCCACAGTTTCTGTTGACTTTGCTCCCTTTCTTCTTCATTAGGATTGTCCTGTTCAGCTTCTGCCAGACACTGCCGTTCCCATTTTGAGAACCAGTGCTCGGGGCCGTGTTCTTGGATTTCAGCTTCTCCCTCTTCCTTCCTCTCCTCCATAGCTAACAGGTTAGCTTTCTGTTCAAAGTGGAGTTTTCTCTGACTTATGGGTGACTTAGCTATCTCTCTTTGACGTTGTATCAGAGAAATAGATAATACACCCCTCCACCACCTACAGAAACCAAGGAATAGTAATGCTGTTAGAGCCGCATTGTCAATATTATCTATCCAACGTTGAACACCAAACCCAAGAAAGCGGATGACAACACCTTAGAATTTCTGAAAATAGCTCCTCCCATTTCTCACTGTACTGAAAGTCGATTGGCTGAGTTGGGTAGTAGAGGCGGGTCTTTTTTTGCCTACAACGAATTCTGATTGGATACTGATAAAACGCGAAAAGGTAAGAGAAAAACGAAGTTGATTTTACTCAAGAGAAGCCACCTAATCTACAAATCAGCATTTTGTTCGATAGGGGGCACCCTAACCACTAAAATTCAGAACACAAGGTTTCAGATCGATTTCTATAGAGCTTTAAAAGACAAAGTCCAGTAATGAACAAGTTATTAGATAACTATAGCTATAACATAATTTCAGTAAAACTGAAAACAAGTTCTTAAATTACTTCAAGTTAAAAACAAATCCAAGTAAATTTATGCTTTTATTATTAGAGCAGTGATCTATACATATACAGTTAATATGAAAATCATTATTCAAAGTTTTACATCAATATTCTAAAACAACATTTGTTTAAATATTCTACCTTGAAACAATTTTGCCAACGGTTTCACGTATTAATTCAAGTACTCACTTTAAAATTAATTATAATCCGGGATAATTGAGGGCTGCACAGTAGCGCAGTTAGAAAACAGGTTCTTAAATTACTTCAAGTTAAAAACAAATCCAAGTAAATTTATGCTTTTATTATTAGAGCAGTGATCTATAAATATACAGTTAATATGAAAATCATTATTCAAAGTTTTACATCAATATTCTAAAATAACATCTGTTTAAATATTTCACTTTGAAACAATTTTGCCAACCGTTTCACGTATTAACTGAAGTACTCACTTTAAAATTAATTATAATCGGGGATAATTGAGGGCTGCACAGTAGCGCAGTTAGTAGCACTGTTGTCTTGCAGCAATAAGGTCCTGGGTTCAATTACCAGGGTCTTTCTGCATGTTCTCTGGGTACTCCGGGTTCCTCCCACAGTTCAAAAACATGACTGTCAGGTTGATGGGTCTAAATTTTCCATAGTTGTGAGTGTGTTTGTTAGAAAATGGACGGACAGATGAATGATTGGACATAAAACAAATAAGTAATTTTGTATATGACTTGGTAAATATCCATTATGATAATATTTTTTTTAAATCACCATCATTTTGAAAGTTTTGATTATTCTTATCACTTCACGTGTACATTAGATTTTTGTATCACAAAAAATCTCAATGAAACACAAATGTTTTAAATCATCACAAATATGTAACAGGTATACAGTAACGCATTACTGACATCGGACCACTTTTTTCAGTAACGAGTAATCTAACGTGTTGCTATTTCAAATACAGTAATCAGACTACAGTTATTTATGGAAATCACTTTAACAGTAGAACAAAAAAATACACACAAATTACTAATGTTTTTCTTTTTGTACTGTTGTAACCATTAAACAATCTCTCCTTCAGTTCAACCAGATAATTTGATATACATTGTTTATGTTACGATCATAAAATAGTTAGCAATTAAGTATTGGCAAATATCAATGTCATTTTCACAGGTGGTGTAGCGTTTTTGTTAGCAGCTATTGAAAGTAACTAAAAAGTTACTTTTAATGTAGCTTAGTTACTTTCCAAATCAAGTAGTCAGTCATCTAACTAAGTTACTTTTTCAAGGAGTAATTAGTAATCTGATTAAATTTACTTTTTCAAAGTAACTATGCCATCACTGCGGATACTAGCCATACAAATGAAATTCTTGCTAAAATATGTTTCATGATTGTCCTGTGATTAGTGGTTTTTGGCGCCCCCTACTGGTTGCCTATAAATACGAAGGAAAACTGAAAATTCTACACAGTCTGTTCAGCACTCTACTGTGGTAAGCCATCAAATCCGGTTCTTTTCTGAATAGTAATGGTAGTTGTGTTCAAAGACTAACGTGGAGTTTCGTCACTGTACACAGAGTGACTAGTGGACCAGTAGGGAAGCTCACTGTGCTATTTGTGTTGTTGACCACTCATTGTTGACCACTCATAACATTAAATGTCAGTAATTTATGTTGTCAGTTATGTTGTCAGTTTGTCTGTTACCTTTGCCAGTTTGTCTGTTGTATTTGTCAGTTTGTCAGTTTGTTTGTTAGCTGTTTCTATGACAAGACTGGCCAGTTTTATTTTCTATAAAGCACCAGAAGGTGCTGTTAAGTAATTTAATAATTAATTTTGACTGCGGTCTGCATTTATTTTTCTAATTTATTTCATTTGTAAAAGAAAGATCAAATTGTATTACATTTATTTTAAAGATGTATTATCAATCAAAACCACTATACAATCAAAGGTCAGGAAAATATGTTGTTAAACCTCATTGTAACAAGTATTTGTAAATCACAATCTGTTCAGCACTCTACTGTGTACACAGAGTGACCAGTAGACCAGTAGGGATGCTCACTGCGCTATTTGTGTTGTTGACAATTCATTGCAGTAAACAGCATTTTAAATTCAGCTAGCTGGCCTCTGGGTGTGCATGACGGGACAGATATGGGAAGCTGTCACACATATAAAAATACCTTAAAATACTGCTCTCACCTTCACAATAATTCATAGTACAATTTTTTTTTTTTTTTTACCAGTAATGCCAGAGATCATTATCTGTTAAATTCTGTCCAAATATGCTGGTCTTTTTTTCAACCAAATCCAGTTTTGTTTCTTTGTTCTTGTATAATTTTTACTATGTAATTTTTTTAATTTATTTTTCATTATGTTTTCTTCGTAATGATACTTAGCATTTTTGCAAACAGCTTCAATTATGATTATCCACTATGTTTCTATCATCAATATCTTAGTGTGTTAGAAAGGCCTTTCTAGTTAAGCTGCAGACAGCCAGGCACAGTCACTGTGAATTGTAATCATTAACTGTTTAACTAACAGCCTTTATTGCCTTCTGGATGTAATTACTATTGAGATGCACAGGGGAAAGTTCGATGCCATGTCCCTGTTTGGTCTCAGATGTACAGATTCAAGGAAGAGGAAGTCCAAAAGTCTCCCTGACTAACACTTTTTAACAAACTGCCTCAGCTGTCTTTTTCTCATTCTGCATGACTTTCTGCATCAGACTGTCCTTCAGCTGCTATTTCAAACCTAAGTCTACATTTTGCACTTTCCCTTCATATTTGTCTGATAATTTTGCAGAGTGTGAAGATGACCAAAGGAGATGACCAGGCAGTTTCTGATATTGAAGCTTCCTTCCAGGAACCCGGGCCGACTGTTACTTTCACCAGGCTGCATTACTTTATTCAAGAGAAGAAGTTCTGCCGAAAGATAGGTCCTGAAAAACATATCCTCAAAGATGTAAGGTAAGGTCTCAACATTTGAGAATATTAATTTATAAGCTAATAGCACCGACACTCATGTATTTGAATTTATCCTTGTTTTTACATTTCTATAAATTTTTTTCTATTTATTGTTGCTTGCTGGCTGGTTTTACTGCATATCTTCTTTATTTCATCAAGTTTTGAATCACAACAAATATCATCCTTAGGCCCGCTACAAAAAAAAAATGAGGTCCACAGTAAATCCACCAACATTCATTCATGTTTCTATTCCACCCAAAGCTAAAACAGATTTAAAAAAAGTAGGAAAATATATAAAAATTGTGCTATTGTACACCCTTATCTCATTGGGTCAGGAGTTGCTGGTGCCCGTATCTCCAGTGGTCAACAGGCAAGAGGCAGAGGAAAATTATATTATATTATATTATATTATATTATATTATATTATATTATATTATATTATATTATATTATATTATATTATATTATATTATATTATATTATATTATATTATATTATATTAGATTAGATTAGATTAAATTATAATACAGTGGTATATAACATTTAGACAATGTTGATTATAGTGCTTTTTTTATTCCTATCTATAAAAAAATAACTAAAGGTCTGTGTTGCTCATTTTTACTGATTCGTTGGCCTGAAATGTACTTGTTTAAGAAATACAAGAAGTAGAATTCATAACAAGAATTCTATTTAATGGATTCATATTTAATATTTAAACATACTGTAGATTATCATTCCACATTTTATTTTTAAAAAATTAGTTTAAAATATATTATATTTCTGTTCACTTTTTGTATTAAATATTTTCAAGGAAAGGGTCAAATGGTTGGGTTACATTGTATTATAGAAAATTAGGTAATATCACCAAATATTTTTTTTTTATTGTTTTTTGTGAAATTGTAATAATATTAATAAATTGTACCTTAAAAAAGTGGAACTTGCATATGTTTTTGTAGTGGCATCATGAGACCAGGGATGAATGCTATCATGGGAGCCACAGGAAGTGGTAAAACATCGTAAGAAGTTTTCATTCAAGTGCATTGTTACAAATGCATTTCAGTTGTGCATAAATTCTAAAAATAAGTTTTATGTTCTGTGCACAGACTTCTAGATGTGATAGCAGGTAGAAAAAATCCAGCTGGACTTCGCCAAGGAACAGTCCAAGTGAACGGCAAAGCTGTCACTTCTGAACTCAGGCTCAGCTCTGCTTATGTGGTACAGGTAGGAAAACACACGTGCAAAGTTCCCTACCTAATAACGCTGGTTTTCTTACGTTATCTTTTTGATTGTATATTAGGATGACATCTTGATGGGCACTCTAAGTGTGAGGGAGAACCTCCTCTTCAGTGCCAACCTGCGTCTCAACCCAAAGCATTACTCCTCTGCTGATAAACAGGGAAGAGTGAACTCCATCCTGCAAGACCTGGGCCTAGTGGACTGTGCTGAGACTAAGGTACTGAGGTCTATGCACAAGCAAATTTTGCAACATATAGCTCACTTTTATTAAAGTAACATTTGATATAATACTTCAAGATCTTAATACACCCTGAAAGCTTTTATGGGAATGAAATGATTTATGCAGAGTGCTGTAACAAACTGCCAGAAGTCACATATCTTTATGAGTGGATAAACAATGTTCTTAGGCACTTCCTAACCTAGGTGTTGTTTGGCATTTAATAAATTATCTTTCTTTGGTCTATGATTTGTGATTTGTAA